CTTACTGACTGACAGAGTGAGAAACTTATCTTGATTGACTGACTGACTTGTGAGTCACTGACTTTTAAAAGTATTCGACAGCGAATACGATTGTGCGTTTAGATGCTGACACTCTCTACCTTCTTTCTCTCTCTCTCTCTCTCTCTCTCTCTCTCTCTCTCTCTCTCTCTCTCTCTCTCTTTTAGTTATAAATGGTGGCTATACACATTGGTCTCCCTGGTCAGAATGCAGTGCGACATGTGGTGAGGGCTTCAGAACGAGATTCAGGAACTGTTCGAATCCGGAGCCAATGGGAGGCGGGAAAAATTGTGACGAAATAGGACCAGCTGAAGAACAAGAAGCCTGTGACCTTCCTGCGTGTGATTTATGTAGGTTGTAGATCACAACATCGTTACACGGACCAAAGGATGAAGTTCAATGTAGTTCTTTTCAGTAGATATTTCTAGTTTAGGTTGTTTTACTTATCCCATTAGTTTTGCTGTTCCTCCTCGAGTGGTCGTCCATCACAAGTAAATCTCCGGCAATCCTTAAATTTGTATGACAGCCTAAGGGTACTGATATGATGGAAAAGGCATCCTGACCCTAAATCCTTTCCTAAAAACAAAACATTAGCCTTCAATGACGCAGCAAAGCCTTGATCTTGAGTCTTTCGATCAGCGTTCAAGTATAAATCATGAGTAAGAGTCTACAGTGACCTATGGTTATGTCGACTCAAATCGAGACTCTTCTTTACCCTTCCTTTTAAACCTTCATTCTAGGCTTAGAAGTAACTCCTTTTTTTTCACGGCCTTAACTTCTCTGAAGATCAGGAAATCGCTTCCTTGGAATTAAATGCTTTGAGAGCTACTATTAAATAGCATTCTCCCTGAGAAGCCCTACGCTCATCATGCTATTACACACAAATAGACAAGGTGTTATAATAGCTTAAGTTAAGTAATACCAGCAGCAGGAAAAATGCATTGATGGTCTTTTAAACACGAAGGCGCGCTATAAAAAGAGCCTTAGGTCCCACTGCACCATTTGTCAATCAACCGTCGTGTGATGTAGAACTCTTAGAGTCAAGTCAGCTTGAGCTACAGCTACTCCAAAGCAGTGAATAGCGGGCGCATTCCTCAAAATGGTTTTATATTCCCGTGGCGAATGAATTATATTCTAAAATTTAAATGAATGTTTTACCACTGTTGATCATTACAGACACCATTTAAAAACTAACATCCCAAAATCAATTTTTTGTTCTTATGTCAGTTGTTGAGGAGACCAGTGGATTCGGTATAATTTCGGGAGCCGTATTTTAATATCTATCGAATACCACTCCTATCTCAAAAAATGAGCAAGATCTGAATTAAAGAAAGGTCTCTGAAACGAAATAATTCGTTCAGTTCGTCAGCTTTTTGTTCTTTTGAGGTTTCATGTGAATTCAGTATGGGTGCAAACAACACCTACTTATGCATTTGTTTCTTTTATTTAGGAACTGTGAAAGGCGAAGTGGGTAAGGAAATTATCATGGTTCTCTAAATAATGCACAAGGCTGGTAAAAATGAATTGTAATTAATATCAAAATTTTTCGTCAAGCCTATGAACAGAAACATGATCGATATGCAATGAGTAAATAATAAAAAAAATTGTCAATAGAAAATTTTAAGTTGTACCCACTCATACGGAACAGAACAAAACTCTAGCGTTGTTTTTACACACTTTTTCACTAAACTTAAACGTAGAACATTCCCTCAGGGCTATGCAAGGCTTTTAGATGAGGATACTCAGAAAATTACAGGCAATGTAAAAATTATCTGCTATCCATGTGATAAGGGACATGACATTCAAGGTGAAAATTGTGAAAGACCTAATTGGAAAAACGCTGCAGTGGCTAGGTATTTCGCGATCAATACTTGGGAAGATAGTTTGAATTGCTAAGCTTCTTACGTTAACATTAAGAATGGTCATGAGTCCAAACAAGGACCATATTTCGCGAATGCGAGATTATTAACACGACTACAGAGATTAAAGGGGAATACTTTTCGATTATTTCAGTTAATCCCTGTGATGATGGAATAGATCTGGGAATCATAGTAGACAGATCCAAAAGTGTCGGAAAGGAAAACTTCCTCATTGTGAAAGCTGCTGTGAAGAACTTCGTGGACAACTTCGACATCCAACCTGACAGGACTCACCTATCGCTGATTTTCTTTGCCGGTTCGCCACTTCACTTGTTTAATCTAAGTGATCCCAATTACCACAGCAACAAGGCAGTGAAAGACGCAATGGATAATCTCCCAGACAGACTGTATGGTGCCACGAGGACAGATTTAGCGCTGATGAAAGCCCATGATCATTTGTTTCACCCGGGACAGGACAGACGCAAACGACCAAATGTGCTTTTGGTGTTGACGGATGGAGCTACTGCGTCGGAGTCAGCGCCCTACAGTGAGACGATTCCTCCACTTGAAGTAAGATGTTGGGGGCGGGGGAGGGGGGAGGAGGGGAAAAAAATCCCACGTATATCATAGATATGTCAAGGTTGATCATGACGTAGTTGAAAATTAGCCCCTGAAAGTTATCAGAGATTCAAGTCACCCCCTCTCACCACAAGGAAAAGAGAGTAAACAAACTTACACTTAACATATTTTTGTACTGATATCACCGTGATATCACCGTGAATGACGTGCTGATATTCACTCGTCTTTTCTTACCAAATAAATTACACCTGTCATATACATTCAATATTTTTTACTTGGATACACAAGAACGAGAAAAAGGAAGTAAAAAGAATCATTAAGTAATTTCAGCCGTTTAAACCATTGAAACACCAAAGGACATTTTTCATCACCCTTGATAGAAAACATATCTCTTTCGGGTGGGACTTCTTTGCAAAGATTATTGCAGTAATGATATCATGAACCTAGGAGAGACCCCTCAACACATGGACGTAGCACAAACAGATAACTCTACGGAATTATTACTGAAACCACTAAACATTGAAAACACGGGGTGATACACCAAACATCTTTCATAAATCCTGAGCGTTACTATTCCAAAAAATTAGGCTGCATATAAACCACTGAGTGGCATGATTCGTTTAGTAACTCCCATGATCCTGGTAAAAAATTTCTTCTCCTCTGAATTTCAGGACAAAGGTGTCAATATAATTGCAGTTGGTATTGGAAAAGGCATTAAAAAAGAGGAACTGGAAAATATTGCCGGTGAACGTGGTTCGGTGGTACAAGTTGCAGATTTTAGTCTTCTCGCTAGCAAGCTGAGCGAAATATTAGCTGATGTTTGCAGTAAGTGTTTGCTTTTATACTTGGTTTAACCGTCTAACAGACGTACTGACATACTGACTAAAAAAAAGACCCATTGACTCTCCAACACACTGACTCTGATTTAACTACCTTACTGACTGACAGAGTGAGAAACTTATCTTGATTGACTGACTGACTTGTGAGTCACTGACTTTTAAAAGTATTCGACAGCGAATACGATTGTGCGTTTAGATGCTGACACTCTCTACCTTCTTTCTCTCTCTCTCTCTCTCTCTCTCTCTCTCTCTCTCTCTCTCTCTCTCTCTCTCTTTTAGTTATAAATGGTGGCTATACACATTGGTCTCCCTGGTCAGAATGCAGTGCGACATGTGGTGAGGGCTTCAGAACGAGATTCAGGAACTGTTCGAATCCGGAGCCAATGGGAGGCGGGAAAAATTGTGACGAAATAGGACCAGCTGAAGAACAAGAAGCCTGTGACCTTCCTGCGTGTGATTTATGTAGGTTGTAGATCACAACATCGTTACACGGACCAAAGGATGAAGTTCAATGTAGTTCTTTTCAGTAGATATTTCTAGTTTAGGTTGTTTTACTTATCCCATTAGTTTTGCTGTTCCTCCTCGAGTGGTCGTCCATCACAAGTAAATCTCCGGCAATCCTTAAATTTGTATGACAGCCTAAGGGTACTGATATGATGGAAAAGGCATCCTGACCCTAAATCCTTTCCTAAAAACAAAACATTAGCCTTCAATGACGCAGCAAAGCCTTGATCTTGAGTCTTTCGATCAGCGTTCAAGTATAAATCATGAGTAAGAGTCTACAGTGACCTATGGTTATGTCGACTCAAATCGAGACTCTTCTTTACCCTTCCTTTTAAACCTTCATTCTAGGCTTAGAAGTAACTCCTTTTTTTTCACGGCCTTAACTTCTCTGAAGATCAGGAAATCGCTTCCTTGGAATTAAATGCTTTGAGAGCTACTATTAAATAGCATTCTCCCTGAGAAGCCCTACGCTCATCATGCTATTACACACAAATAGACAAGGTGTTATAATAGCTTAAGTTAAGTAATACCAGCAGCAGGAAAAATGCATTGATGGTCTTTTAAACACGAAGGCGAGCTATAAAAAGAGCCTTAGGTCCCACTGCACCATTTGTCAATCAACCGTCGTGTGATGTAGAACTCTTAGAGTCAAGTCAGCTTGAGCTACAGCTACTCCAAAGCAGTGAGCAGTGGGCGCATTCCTCATAACTGTTTAATGTCTTCAATACAAGAATTTTTGAGATTTGTACTTCCTTTCTCCAATGGAAACTGTCTTTATTTGTGGCGGTAAATTTGAGATCGAAGTAGGTGGTTCGCACGTTACCTCATGCCACCATGCTGGTGGAAGTAAACAATAGATATCTCGTTAGCTCCTTTTGTTCGTCTACCAGCATTTAAATTTGACCCGCACACGTCAACGGTGAGTGACAAATGAACCCAGGTCTTCCCAGGGAAGACTTCCTTATATAGCGCGCCTTCGTGTTTAAGGAAAAAAAATCTATACCGAATACATTGAGGAATGCGAGAGGCTCGGATAAGTTAAATTCCCAATACATTTAGCTCAGCGCAGTCTCTTTTAGTCAACTTTTTTTACTTGTAACAATAGCTGTTGATGGTGGATACACTCGCTGGACGACATGGACCAAGTGTAGTAAAACCTGTGGTACTGGTACTCAGATACGAGTCAGAACTTGCACCAGTCCACCACCTAATGCTGGGGGTAAAAATTGTGATGACTTGGGTGAACCCCAGGAGGTGAAGAAATGTAAACTGCCGAAATGTGTGAAAGGTAAGCGAAACATAAGTCTAGTCTGTCCTCAACGATCTATATTTGGATCAGTTCTGGTCAGCAGTGATGATGATGATGATGATGATGATGATGACATTAGGAAACGGTGGCAATAGGCCTTGGCGGTGGTAATGTCGTCAACACATAGACTGGTCATGTTTCTATAGCTCAAAGACTTATGGGGCTGAGGAAATCGAATGAAAATGATTCAAATAAGATGTAATGAAGAACTTAATGATTACTCAGCTGACAGAAGACAGGCCAGTCAAATATACATATATATGACTGTTTTCAAAAGGGCCAACTTCAGCAATCCGACCCTATAACTGCTTGGTTGACTTGCTTCGCTTCCAAAAAAACCTTTTTTTCATGGTGGCAATTTGACTACAACAGCCAGTCAATAACGTACTTTAATGACAAGAATGTGTGCATTTCCTGTCTTATCAATTTCTTTCTGTAAAATCTCTGTAACAGGGAAATCTCCATGCAAAGAGGGCCTGGACCTAGGCATTCTTATTGATCGGTCATTAAGCATTAGGCCAAGAAACCTCGAACGCCTTCTAAAAGTCTTCTTCCCCAAATTTTTTAAACGCATGAGCATTTCAAAAAGCAAAACCCGTATTGGTATAATCAAGTACGACAAAAGTGCAACTGTCTTTGCTCCGTTCAATGGGCCAAACTCGAATTCTTTAAAGAAAGCGACCGCCTTTGTACAAGGCCTGGACCCAAGTGTCTATCTACAGACGCGGACAGACAAAGGACTTATCGCAGCATACAAAGAGCTGTTCACTAGAAAGGTAAATGTGTAAAGGAATTTTAAGTTGAACATGTACGGCAATCTACTGAGATGTCTCTTAACAAGGCTGCATTCCCTTACTTTCGATGTTAGGACAATTGCTTTATATCATTTTCTCTTCTTAACGCTGGAGTCCAATCTCAAATAATTTCATCTCTACGAGCTCTTCAGTTTCTCTGGATAATGAGTCATTAATTTTAAGTTTTGGTGGCTTTTTAAGGGAGGTGACAGAAACAAGAGACAAAATGTCCTACTGACATTCACTGATGGGCGAGCCTGGCCAAGGAGACGCATAAAACCTTTTTCGTTGACAGTTCCTCCGCTGAGGGTGAGAAACACATCTATTATCATTCGCTCCGACGAAGGGCTAACGCTCGAAACGTCAGCTTTTACAACCGTAACGGTGGTCAATTTACCCCATTGACTTTCCAGCACACTGACTCTGATTTAACTATCTTACTGACTGACAGAGTGAGAAACTTATCTTGATTGACTGACTGACTTGTGAGTCACTGACTTTTAAAAGTATTCGACAGCGAATACGATTGTGCGTTTAGATGCTGACACTCTCTACCTTCTTTCTCTCTCNAACCGTAACGGTGGTCAATTTACCATTTCAACTTTGTTGATATATTCAAATTATTTCGTTACCCCCACCGACGCAGCGCCAAACAGTTTCTTTAGAAACTATCAGCCTTTATTATGTGTTAGGTTTGTTTGTCCGTATATTTATAATTTTTTTTTTACAAGCCCCTGTTTTATTGGTTTTTGCTTTTGCTGTTTTGTTTGGTGTTTTTGTTTTTTTGTTTTTATTTTTAACTTTTTTAATTCATTAGTCTGTTGGTTGGTGCTAACAGTGCACATAATATAGGGACCTATGAGGGCGTGTAGTTGAAAGCCGATGAGAATGATACATTTTTTTCTTTGTTCCACGCTCGTAACAAGACGAACAACATCTTTTTCTATTTCCATACTAAGCTCAAAATTTCTCATCTTCCTTGCTCTATTTACATGTATAAACATGACGCTATCGTCTTTGTCCATCCTAGCAGGATGAAGGACGCGTGTCATATATGAACTTTGTAATGGGTGATAGAGTCTGTATGGGTCAGCGGTAGAGCATCAGAGCGCGGAATCCGAAGGTGTGAGGTTCGTTTCCCCATGGGGACTCAGAAATTTTTTCTTTGTCCCACGAACAACATCTTTCTCTAACAAAATTTTTGTTGCAGTCGCATCGTCATATATCATAAAACCAAATAATTTGGAATTCAAAATCTATCTATTGTCAGCAAGCTAATCATTCATATCGTGAACTTTGCTTCTCTGTGTCCAGGAAAAGAAAAAATGTCATATGGTTGCTGTCGGTTACGGCGTTCCAACAAAATTGAATATGACTCAACTCCAAGAAATCGCAGGAGATAAGGCGATCCTTGTTCCAAGGCCGAGGCAAATCAGAAAAATGGTTGGAAAAATAAAGAAAGCAGTCTGTCGTAAGTTTTTTTCCATTACATCATTGAGTTTCCGGTTTCTACCTGCTACCACTTTCGAATTGCTATATTGTACACAAGAAATTCGTTTCCAGTGAACCTATTTTAAGCCAATTTGAGAGATGAGTGTATCGTTTAAAGAGGGTCGTTATGGAGTGGTCTAGCGGTTGATGACTAAAAATTAGCCGTTTTGAAGGTGGACGGTTACACTTCTGGTCCGTTTGACGGTTGGGGCGAATTAATCACGAGAAATCAAGCCAGCAAACTAAGTTTTTGCTTCTGAAAGTAAGAAATTTTGCTATACTTGAGGGGTTCATGAGAATACTGCAGCGCCTTATGGGGGAACCAGGCAAATTTCACTGTGACAAAAGCAAAATCCTTCCCTTTCCCCCTTCCCCTTAGGCGGTAAATAATGACCGGTCTATAAAAGCAGGCCTAGAAGAGTCGTAAATTTCTGATAACCAGTGGATGAGCTCTTCTCTTACTGGTGAAAGCGCTTGGAGTTTTGTTATGATCCGTCCCCTTTCTCTACCCCAGAGATAGATGGAGGGTACTCAAAGTGGAGTCAGTGGTCACTTTGCAGTGCAACGTGCGGAGTAGGAGTCAAAGTTCGAAGCAGGACATGCACTGCACCACCACCGAGAAAAAAGGGCAAAGACTGTTCTAAGTTGGGAGACGGTGTGGAAACAGTGGAGTGTAATGAAGGAGAATGTCCAACAGGTAGATAGAAGGAATTGATCTACAAAACCAAACAAACAGAGAAAAAAAAATTAAAAATAGCCAAAAAAGGAGGACATAACAAAAACCATTGAAATATAAAAAAGACGGACGACAACAACAACAACAAAAAGCAACTGAAGGGGACAAATATCAAAACGTTACTCAGAAGAGAGAAACAAAACAAAACAAAAAAAAACAAAGCAGATGAACTCTATCAAATCAAGGAAGAAATCATCAAACAAAAAATTAAAAAAAAAAAAAAGAAAACGCAACGGAAGTAAACTAAACAGCAGGACGGAGCAATAATAGCAAAGACAAACGAAAGAAGATCAGTAATCTGCAAACGGATAACGCTCTTTCGATCTTATTAAGCAAGCTGGAGGTTCCTAACCAGTTTTGTTATTTATTTTAATTCCTTTCAGGCCCAACTCCATGTAACAAAAAGAATTTGGACGTTTGTTTGATTGTGGATGCCTCACTGAGTGTTGGAGTTCAGAATTTTGTGCGAGTGAAATCCTTCCTGGTGCAATTCGTCCATCAGTTCGAACCCGGAACACATTTCAGTGTCATTACCTTTAGCGGAAAGCCTCATGTCCAATGCAAGTTCTCCGATTCTAAGTGCCAAGGCACAGACAATACGCATGATACCATCGCAGAAATTCCTGACCGAGTTACATGGGGTACTTTCACTGATACAGCTTTAGTTGCCGCTGACCAGATTGTCTACACACCGGAAGGTGGTGATAGGCCGGACGCCTCTAATGTGGTTGTGGTTATAACAGATGGCAAAACAATGAGGGGCTCTCAACCGTTCAACGTCACTGTTCCTCCATTGCGGGTAGGTAGTGATCATTGATACATTTTTGAGTTGTACAATCATGCTACTATTATGATAAAATTATGTACTTCGGAGCAATTGTCAATTGAGTGTTGAAAGTAATCCGGTATTGCAGTGACTTTGATTTACTTTGCTCTGTGATTGGTCCAGAAAACTCACACCACTTATACACCAATCAGATTCAACAAATCAGATTCAACCGATCAGATTCAACCAATCAGATTCAATCAATGAGATTTAACCAATCAGATCACGAATACTAAAGCCAATCACGCGAGACAAAAATTGGACTTGCTTTACCTTCGAATTTTTAAATAACAAAGAAATCGAAGGAGCAAGAACAAATCTCGTAACGTAAAAACACTAGATTAGCATGCTTCAAGATCTCTGAAAACACCTACAACAAGAAAAAAAGCTGGATACGCTCCTGTATGACTGAGCTTTAATCAAGATACAGTTTATTATATCTTGGTGTTAATGTTTAATACCATACAATAATGCAATTAAATACTCCATGTTAGGAGGGAAAAAAAGCAAAAGTGTTGGCATTCGGTGTTGGTCCATCCATTCGAGAGGAGGATCTGAACGAGATGGCTGGAGAGAGCAACTGGTTCTACGTCGACGAATTTGTAGATATGAAATACAGAATCCGCGATATTCTGGGCGTAGCCTGCAACAACACAGCCACTCTGCCGCAGTAGTTTCAACTCCTTACGGAAGCTTTAAGGTATTGAACATTTTAAATATTTTCGCATATTCGCAATTGGTTCAAACGGGTCATGGAAATTTGCCTCTGTGCAACTGGCGAATATCTCACTTATACTTCCTATTCTCCATCCCTCACCACAAATTCTCTATTTGGATCAACTTCAAGACGAGGTGGGAGTTCTGGTCTTGTTAGATAGGCGATGAAATTGCTTTGCTGATGATAACTTTAAAGTGCAACTGACCCCTAAATTTTTTTCACTTAAAAAAATCTTCCTGCTTTGGTGAGTATTTCTTCGAAAAAATTGTTAGATTTGGTTAAACCCTCATTTTTTTATGCCCTGTTGAAGTCGAGATCCGAATGGACCACGACCGCGTAAATGGGGATCTGGGCAGAGTAGACTTGTGACGTCACTTCGAGGAGACGCTTAAGGAATTYTCAGCCAGTCGTCGAGCTGGGAAAGCCCTTCTAGCACTAGATTCATTCTGCGGCATATTTGCGACCAATATCGATCTAACCCCCCAAACATAACCAGTGAACTGTGCAAAATAGCGTGAAATACAGATTGTTGGGTTCTCGAAGTGACGTCACATTAGTCGCCAGACTCTTGATCCTTGAAAACGCGGTCGTGAGTCAAAATGGCGGTGATTTTAATGCGATTTTCCGTACCTCAACGGGGCACAAAAATTCAAATCCAAAACTTTTTTCGAAGAGATACTCACCAAAGCATGAAGATTTTTTTAAACGAAAAAAAATTTAGGGGTTAGGTGCACTTTAAAAGGTGATAATCTTATGCAGTACAGCAGCAGTTTTGACATGTAGCTGTTTGCGAATGTTTTGTCTCTTGCGCTGCGAAGGAATTGAAATTTGAAGTTTTTAATTATCGCCATTCTTACGAGCCTTAAATGTAATATTTATTTACAACCTAATCAGTATCAAAATGTACGCTTACTTTTTCCTCTGCAGAGTCATTTTAGGATACAGATCACAGATATGGCGGGGTAATTAAATTACCAAAATATTTCAGCGGGATGTAGCTGATGACCTAAAAATATCACGACGCGGTTGGAACTGCAAGGGATTCTATTGTCAATTTTCACGCTATGGGAAAAACAATCTAGATTTTTAAGTTGGTACTTCAACAGAATAAAATTAAACAAGTGTTGATCGAGCCAGTTTCAGTGTTTTCAATTTCGTAAGTTTAGACCTCAAATGTTTGGAATCTAATGAAGTAACTCCAAGCCTCCTATTTAGTAAGCTTCAGTGAAATGGTTGCCCTTCGCTTCAGAAAAGCTTGAATGTCCGATCCGAACATTACACCTTATTGCTTCATTTTCGTGCTATTTTAAATCAGGAGATCAAATAAGTCGCGAAATGAAAGCTTCCCACCTGACTTCATCTTTCCTAACAACTATTTCAATAAATTGGAATTTTGCAATAGCCAAAGTTATTTATGTTGTGTGAAAAGTAAAATTCTGCTGATTTTCACTTCTTGACAAGTTTTTGCATGAAAAGCTCTCTTTACAAATTACAGATGAAAAAAGAAAAATGACTAGTGTTTCCAGGGAAAAGTCCTTCTATCAAAAGACTGTAATCTAATTTTTTAACAAAGAGGCATGTCAAGGGAATTACTATTTGAAATTTTCAAATTTCTATGACTTGAAAAAGACATTTATCGAGGAAATTTAACCCTTAAATCCCAATAACTGATTTTCAATTCTCCTCTCTAGCTACTACACATATCCTTGACAATAAGTTACGAGAATTTAGCGTTAGATCAACATAATTTCCACTTGATAAGTTTGAGTATTCTCAGCAGCCATTTGTTGGATAATGTATGGATAAGGTAAGGAGAAGTTACATGTTAATCACTTCTGGAGTTAAAGGGTTAAGGGAGATTCTACTCCTGACTATCACATTTTCCTTAACACAAGTGATTGACAAGTTTCCTCTGCTGAAATAAAGAGGAAACATATTTTCCTAATCAAGTTCACATGCCATAAAAAAGTTCTTATTCAAATTTAACCTTGCTTCACACTTGTAAAGTACATGAGTTTGCAATATTCACTAAGGCTTGCTTTGCATCAGAGTCTGGAAACAATTGAAGTGATTGAAGAGCTTTCTTTCCATAACCTAAACTCAGATCTTTCATGGTTGATGATGTTTCTCCCTGGGATGCAGTGAAGGCCAGTTCCTGAAGCAGATCATCCAGCTTCTCTGTGTTCTTTTCTGCTAAGATTTGCATGATCAATGTTTTCACATGAGGTTGTTTACTAGAGATAATTACAGGTGCAGTGTGGAGGATTGTGGTAGATTTTTCATCATGTAGAGCCTGAAGATCTTTCTTCAACTGATGAGCAAAACCAATGTTTTTGCCAAATTCAAATGCAGTTTCCTGAAGCTGAAATAGAAAGAAATCGGTTGCTCTAATTGAACAGAATTGAAAATAGCTAAAGTCATACCTGGGCCTTTAATATGTAGACTTATGTTTCATTGTTGGAAATACTTGATTTCAAATGATGTGGTAAGTAACTCTAGCCTCCAAAATCTGGTAATTTCAAATAATTAAACTGATTTCCCTTGTTTTGAATGATCCCAGCACAGAAAGCTTTATGTTTGTTCCATTTGGTGAGAGAGCATTTAAACTGTAACACAAAAGACCCACCACCCCATGTACACGTACTTTATACTTATTACATATTGAACATCACACATGACAAGTATAAAACCCAACAAAATTTGAATTGGGCTACATTGTGTGTACATGCAAATATGTGTTGTGAACCTTCAGCTATTACCAGTAAGCCCAATATTACTTACAAGTTCATATGGTTTTTTATTCTTATGCTCGTGAGGGCCTAAGACAAGCCCACAAATCATTCATTTTTTGTTGCCTCTTTGGAATAGCAGTTACATCTTCTCAGATGCATTTGTAAGAGTATTTAGTATAATTTGAGAGCTGAGCAAAGAGTTTTACAGCAATCTGATTGGTGGAGCGGTTCCTTATATGACACTATATAAACTGCTACATGCAGTGTATATAAAAATGTTAAAATAAAATGTTAATAAATGTTACTAAAATGTTATGATTTTAGAAATTTCTCTGTTGTTCAGCTCTGAAATTATACTAAAACAATTATTCACCTCAGGTTTGATGAATATTATTGAATATTCGGCGAATAATTGTTAAGTATAAGTTGAATATAAACATTCACTCTGACAAAGGGCTAGCGCTCAAAATGTCAGCTTTGGAACTCTTTATGGTGGCCCATTTACATTATCAACTCAGTTGATAAAACCAAAATTACCTTCAGTTGTCACTCTCACTGAGGCAACACCACAGTTTCTTTTGAAAGTTACCCCCTTTAACAAGTTGAATATACTTAATGACATATTGAATGATTTGATGGGAAAATCAGTATAAAAACATTTCAAATGCCATGCAATTGCTACAATCAAATAAATCCATCCTCACCTCAACTGAGTGACCAACAATTTTCAGTGCTGCTTTACAACTGTTTGCCATCAAGCTTGCCTTGCATTTGAACGATAACTCGTTCCAAAACTCTAAATTCAAATTATCAGCATTAAATGTGATTTTCAGGAATTCCCCTTCCATCAAATGTCCAATTACCTCTGAAATCATTTGAACAACCTCAGTGTCTTTAAGTTCTGCTAATCCTGTACAAGCATTTGCTAGAAGAAAGTCACCACTTAACACTGCCATCTTGTTACCAAATTCCATGTCCTCTTGATAGCACTTGCTGGATGAAGAGATACTGGCTAAATCAACTATTCCTGTATGCACCAGGCTGGCTTTATTAGAAAAAAAAAATGTTGCAAGTGACATGTAAGACAGGTATTTACGGTAAAAAAAAACAAGAGTGGGTAATCCACTAACTAGCAGTGATCCCTAAACAGGAGGTCCAGGAAACTCCTGGGCATAATTACACAGTGGCATGAACATAGTGCAAAGATTATTTACACCCAAAACCAATCCTGAGAGATAAAAAAGATAGAGCAGCTAGATACATCTAGTTGAGTATGCCAATAATAGGTACTTTCTCTAGTTTCTTATCTTCTTGTTTAACATGGCTCCAATAAAAAGTTATTCATGTGTAACAGAGACAATAAAAAAATACATATTGAACTTCCTCCTAGAATTATTGTATGCAAGCTACCCAGGACAAGCTAACCAATGGTACTGGACTAACTGTCAAAATAGGATCAGAGCTCTGGGTTGAAGACATCCAGAGTATTCTGTATTGTAATAATTTGGAGATATCAACAAAGTTGAAATGGTAAATTTTCCACCGTAACAATTACAAAAGCTGACATTTCGAGCGTTAGCCCTTCGCTCCGACGAATGGCTAACGCTCGAAATGTCAGCTTTTGCAATCGTTATGGTGGCCAATTTACCATTTCAACTTTGTTGATATATCCAAATTATTTCGTTACCCCCACTGACGCAGCCCCAAACAGTTTCTTTAGAAACTATCAGCCTTTATTCTGTATTGTGTTGTATTGTTGGATAGCTTGCCTCTTTACATGGAGTTATGTGACCCCAGGTAGGTGAGGTAAGCTGCACTGGTGGGGTGACCCACCAGTCTGTATAATCTCTTCTTTTATCTTGATCATGTTTAAATGATAGGTGGGATAACCCACCTTGCAAGTGCCTGGTCTGCCAAGTAGGGTAACCTTGTCAGCTGGGGTCTCAATTTGCAATGTAAAGTATAAATGACTCAAAATAGGGAAACCCACCAATCTTGGGTCATGTTCATGTTACATACTTTAGGCAACAACCTCTAGTAACTTCACCCCAGAATCCCAGTGATGGAAGATTGTATGTAAATGCAGGATATTTTTCAACCATGGTTAGGCAGGGTGCCTTGCCCACCTGGATCCCCCACCTCCATGTGAACAGGCCTTAAGACATTAACACTTAAACAGTAGTAATAATAATAATAATAATAATAATAATAATAATCGACTTTATTTAAAGAGGGTATACACATAACAGCTTGCGCTGATAAACCAGTGGCCCTCAAAACTAAAGTTAGTAAGTAATACATTCTAAGCCATAGGGATTAAAAATAGAACTAACTAGTCGAACAATGTAACAATTCAAAGATTATAAATACAATAAAACTAGATTATAATACAGCTTCAAAAGAATCAATGTCTCCATAAGAATTTATAAAATAATTCATCAAAGTATTCCTAAGAGAGGAGATGCTACGTTGTTTCTTATGCTCATTTGGAAGACTATTCCATAACTTAATACTACTAACTTGGAAAGACCTTCCTGCCTCAGTAGTATTTTGATACTTGGGACAGATTAGGTTATGCTGGCCATGCCTGGTCTCTCTACCAAGCAGGGAGTGATTTGTAGTTAAAGTACTTTCAATATACGCAGGGGATTCCCCATGCAGTGCCTTATAGATTAACACGCACTTTCTTATCTTGACTTCATCATAGAATGGGATCCAATTTAGTTTCTTAAAATTTTCCACAGTTCTTGATCTGATACCTGTACCTAATATTACACGCGCTGCACGTTTCTGCAACCGAAACACTCTCATGAGATCTTCCTTAGAACAATAGGTCCAAACTATACTATAAAGTGTAGTAACTCACTACACCAAGAGAAACCCAATGAAATACTGGGGGAAACTTGCAATTGGCCCATCATACATCAGAGAGGGGTAGTAGCAATCTCACCTTCTATACTACAACAGCTACCCCATTCACTCTTGTATCTCTTGGGCTACCCTTGCAGCTAACCCATTCACTCTCTTATATAAAAATACAAAACAATACAAACACAAAAAAACCACCGCAAATCACCTGTGTGTATGGTTTCAGTTATGTCGGCCAGCTGTCTTTGGCTTGAATGAATGTCAGCTACCAGTTCCTGATCCATGTTCAACTCGTTTTTCATACATTGCCCAGAGGCCTTTGAGATGAGAAGTACTAAAAGTCCTCTAGTTTGCATCGTCTGGTTGTCGTCCGAAACAAAGCCTCGCGCCGTTCTAAGCATGGGGTGCTTGCTCATGGCAAACCTCTTCATGTACATGGCGATGTTAGAGATCTCGTCGCTCAACAGGTATCGTAAATTAAGGAATGAGGTTGGATAGCCAACAATTTTCTCTGCTTCCGAGAGAGCTCTGTTTAGATCGTCGTGTCTCGTAGACCAAAATTGTCTCCTGATCGAAAGGTTTGCATTTGGCGACTGCCTTGATAGAAGCATAGAGTTACGATACGTGATGAAGTTGTGATAGTTAAAGTTGCATCTAACTGAGCGAAAAGCCAAACGAAATGCGTTTCTCTCTCTTGCGAAGTTGACCACAACTGCCGCCATCTTGAATCTTACGTAACCACGCTTACTTAAAAGTTGTCAGTGGTAGCTAACTCATGCAAGAAGATACTTCATTTAATTTTCCTTTCATGCTTTAAAAAATAACTGGTGACTAATTAACAATTGGTTCATGCTTTAGCGTGCACTATCGAGTTATGGAGCACGCGGGAAGTTTCGAGAGCACGAAAGAAGCGTAAGAGTTGCCCGAGGCGATAGCCGAGGGCAACTCTAGCTTCTTGAGTGCTCTCCAAACTTCCCACGTGCTCCATAACTCGATAGTGCACAGCTGAAAGCATGAACCAATTGTTTTAGAACATAGCCGGTGGAATTGTGCATCAAATGCGACGCGAAAAACGGACAACAATATCAGTTGAAGCGAATCGTGACGGCGCTGATGCCGAGTCTCCTTTTCCTTTGTTTTTCTCTTTTTCTGCCTCATTTAAGAACTCTAGCCCATGGGAAAAGGTCGAAACATTGTCTTCGTTTTCGGACTAGCAGGCCGAGTTTCTGTTTGTATCCATTATTGTCGCGAAATGTATTATTTTTCCCCGCACTAGCAATGGCCGCTCGCGCGAAAAAAAAATTTCTGAAGAGTCAAGTCAGCTTGAGCTACAGCTACTCCAAAGCAGTGAACAGCGGGCGCATTCCTCAAAATTGTTTTATGTTTTCATCACAATACAAGAATTTTTGAGATTTGTATTTCCTTTCTCCAATGGAAACTGTCTTTATTTGTGGTGGTAAATTTGAAAGGTGGCCATGGTTCGCACGCTACATCATTTCCACCATGCTGGTGGAAGTAAACGTCTCATTAGCTCCTTTTGTTTGTCTACCAGGCACATAAGGGACCTCTCCTTTTATAGCGCGCCTTCGTGTTTAAGAGATTTTGCATTTTTTCTTTGTCATCATTATTTTCCTTTTGTGACGGTTCAGAATAAACGTTTTAAGTTAGTGCATAGTCACAAGCCATAAAAGAAAGCGGTTTTGACGATGCACTTAGAGATCTTCTATGCTGAAGATGACTTACCTCCAGTACCCGAACCAAGGTTACTTTTCCTCAGTAAGGGTAGTATTTAACTTCTCATGGCATATCCCATTTTTGGCTGTTTGCCTTTCATAATGGCATAACAGGCCTTTTTGCAGCTAGAGATCATGTGCTTAGATACCGCATAGCAACGCCATACTGGAGAGCAAGCACTCCAGTGATCTCAGACAGTACAGAGGTCACAGAGGTCTGCACTCAAACAAAGAATACAGCGAATAACAGGTCAAAAGGTATCCAAATTCGAGAAATCCAGTAAGAAGTAATCAACAGCTTCCCCGGAGTGTATCATCAGCAAAATCACACCAAAATTCGTTTTTCGCTGATACACTCCAAGGAAGCTGTTTATTAAAACTTACAAGATTTCTTGAAGTGGGATACCCTTTAACTTGTTATCCGCTATACTCTTTGTTTGAATGCAGACCTCTGTGATCTCTATTTTGTCTGAGATCACTGGAGTGCTTGCTCTCCAGTATGGCGTTGCTATGCGGTATCTAAGCACGTGATCTCTAACTGCAAAAGGCCGATTCATTTTGTTTATTCAAGTAGTTTTTAATGAATAAAAGTTAATTACTGAATAAATACAGACGGCCGGGAACTGAATGGTTTGAATGTTTCTTTACATCGTATAAACGTTAGCGTCGTTTACATTGACGGTCAAAGATGATAATTTGAAATCCTGATATCAGATGTTGGGTAAGCGCTTACTTTTTATTATAATCATTCCAGCAAGTGAAATGATTTTCTCCTTGTGAAATGTTTGCATTTTAAGTAAGAAAGATTTTGTTATTCTATTTTTCTACTGGTATAGGAACACTGAGCTCAAAAATAAAAATTAAAAATTAAAAAACTAAAAAGGGAGAAACTTTAAACGTTTACAAAACGGAAGATGAAGAGGAGGGTACTCATTGACCTCAGGAAGGCATGTGCATCTATTTCATATAGTTTGTGACGATTCTTTGAGATCATTCTATTCAAGTCCGGTCGTTGTTCCTTCCCAATCTCCGAGACATGAGCACGGTTATATTAAGCTGCTTTCCCAAGTAGCGGCTGATAGCATAGTTTAGTTTATTAGCTTCGCCGACCAGCAGGGACACCGCAACAGCTTGTGCCAATTTACTGCGGGCCCTGTCAACCCACCATCCCACCCTAGGGGAGAACATCCATCATGACACAGTATTCTCGTGTGTGGGAAATTAACGTCTCCTACCCCCAACCCTGCAAGGAGACGGGACTTCCATTTAGTCCCTATCCGAGAAGACTAGAATAACTAACCATTTCTTGATTTCATTTCTTGATGAGCTTTGCGGCAACTTTCTGACACCTCTTTTTATAAAAAGATCGACAAAGACCTCACTGCCAGCAATCAAAACTCCGTCAAGAGTACGATCAACCAACTCATAACTAAACAAGAATTGCCGGCCACAGCAAAAAATCTCATCATAACCACTCCTAGAACTTCTCGTATTTACTTTTTACCTAAAATTCACAAACCTAACAACCCGGGTCGGCCCATTGTCTCGGCTTGCAGTTGCCCTACCGAACTTATCTCCAGCTATCTAGACAAAATTATGGCTCCCATCGTCAAAACTTTACCATCATATATTAAAGACAGCCAACACGCTCTTCAAATTTTTCGAGACTTTAATTTCCTTGGCCAAAACAAACTTCTTTTCACCATGGATATTACGTCTCTTTACACTGTCATTCCTAATGGCGAAGGCCTTCTGGCCCTTAAACATTTTTTTGATCAACGTACTGTTAAGGAACCTAAATCTGAAACACTACTACGCTTAGCCGAACTAGTGCTCACACTCAATTGTTTTTCATTCGGAAACAACTTCTTCAAACAAACCAATGGTGTAGCCATGGGCACCAAAATGGGACCTAGCTATGCCAATCTTTTTGTAGGTTTTGTCGAACATCAATTTTTCAGCCAATACAACGGGTCCAAACCTGAACTCTACGGTCGCTACATCGACGACTGTATCGGCGCTACCTCCTCTACCAGAGAGGAGCTCACTCAATTCATAACCGCAGTCAATTCTTTTCACCCGGCTCTGAAATATACCTGGGAAATTTCTGACAATTCTTTATCCTTTTTAGACATCAAAGTTTCAATTGAAGGTAACGGTTTATGCACTAGTGTGTATTACAAACCTACAGACTCGCATAATTACTTGTTATATTCGTCTTCGCATCCATCTCACGTTAAGAATTCCATTCCTTTTTCTCAGTTTCTAAGACTTCGTCGTTTATGTAGTGATGACTCTGATTTCCACCACAAATCAGAGTCAATGTGCCAGTTTTT